TATACCAACTACTTCTGACTCCCCTGATGTATGTATGTGTGTGTGTGTGTGTGTGTATATATATATATATATATATATATATATATATATATATATATATATATATATATATATATATATATATATATATAATTGCTATGAATGACCTCTAGTCTCTACTTCTCTTTTTATTCCATCATATGAGGCCGGATGTAGCCTGTATGTATGTGAAGCAGCAGATGCATATATTCACTCTGTAATCAGTTGATTTTATGGTATATTTATTTAATTATCATACAAAATAATTTAATCAATTATTGCATTTCAGTGGCTCCTTGATTGTCTCTTATATGCTCTGAAATCAAACGTCTTGGCAAGCAACACAGCCTGGTCTGAACGGTGCTCCATCTATTCTATGTGCCGCGAGAACAGACTTTCCTCCAAACTGCAAATGTCTGTCATAATGTCGACAGAAGTTTAAATTTGGGTAAACATTGGGCAGAAAACAGTTTGCTATTGAATATCTTCTTACTTCTCAGATGTTTGAACATTTTACTGTACTGGAAATAGCAACCTTTGATTTCACACCATAATCATTTCACTTCACATTAAAGAGGGTTGCTGAGATCACTATTTGTGAGCAGCGCTTATAGATGTTGTGTTTACTGATCGGAGGACAATTTAAGCATTGAGTTTTCAGCTGGAAATGAGCAGATTCAAGTCAAAAAATTAATTTCTTTGGTGCATCTCTGCTTAGGAACTTCTACAATGATGCAGCAGACCATTAAGTGTTGGGTGTCAATATGTAATGTGTTGCAACTTCTCCTTTACCAATAGTATACTTAAAGTCATAGGGACGTCCCTGAAACAATAGAAAAAGCAGATTAGTTAAAAGTCCTGCAAGAGGATTGAAAAGTTGTTACATCACAATTTAAAGATCGAGCGAGTTGTAAACTCCAGCACCCTGCGACGCTAATCCAACTCTGGCCGTGTCCTGGACAGGTCACATGTTTGGAGCTTTGCACCGTTTCCTTATTTTCATTTCTCCAGCGGGCAGGAAAAACATCCAGGAAGAACAAAACAGTAGGGCTTTCGGGTTGTATAAACAGAACAATTCAAAATGTACATCAGGAAGAAGTGAGTCCTTATAGGTAAACTCAAAAGGTGTTGTGTCAAGTAACGTTTGTGCTGACCATCTCTCTCACTGGTTAAATAAGCCTAATTGTAAACTATGTAACATGAAATCTGGCAAGAGACCCCAACTTAAGCCTCTTACACTGTCAGGTTTGTTTACAGTGAAAAAGCCTCAGTCAGACCAAAGTTTCCTAATGTTTTTAAGTTCGTCTGAATGCTCCTCATCTTTGCCCTGATAAACCACTGACTGCTCTCTCCTTTTCTCTCTCTGGTCTTTAGCCTTCCTAATGTGAACTAAATGAAAACAGAGGCCCCCCGCCGCCACCTGGAAAACGCTGAGGGACTAAGTGGATTGAAGAAGGCAGCCACCGATCGAGGGAGTCTGGGCAGGGAGGGGAGACACACAGAGAGGATTAGCAGCTAATCCAGGCCATCGAACAATCCTGGGGGGAGTTTTGCCGTTCTTCCAGGACGATGCAGACAAAACAGTTCCTGGATTTAAAGGCTTTACGACGGCGCGTCCAAATTCTTCTGTGACGGTTTGGATTCGGCGCGGACTTGGATCTTTGGTGCAGAGGAAGCAGTGAACTGAGAAGGGAAGCGACAGGATGTCCTGACGGACCGCATGGTGCCACACACATGGATAAACCTTTTCAGCATGTGATTACGGACCCCTGCCTTTTCACCTTGGCCTGACAGAAAGACACTGAAGGTCTTGCTGGACTTTGTGATTAGGCCTCACTTACAGTAAGGAACTATTCATTTCTTTGTTTGAAGGAAATTTCAAGTATGCTGTAATTGTCCAAGGAAAGAAACAACGTATAAAGTGTTTGTAGGTTAGTAAGAATAGGGGTAAGGAGACAAAAATGCATTGCACTTTGTAAGATTTACTGTTCCTCTTAAGTGTTGCTTAAATTTCAGCAAAAAACTTGGCCGTCTCCTGAAGATGAAGTTTAACCACAAGAAAGTTTCGTAGGTTTGGGTAAAAGGCCGCGCACGTTGTAGCTTTGCACGGTTTCCTGGGGAGGTGATCCTCTTAAGGCGGCAAACTCCAACTGAGATCAGTTCAGTTCCCGATGTCTACAAAATATAGAATTAGGAGAAAACGCAAGTCTTTCTTTATTGCCTTCATCGCACAGCAAGCTTTTGGTGTATGTACACATGCGGTTGGATTGTGTATGTCTGGGCAGCCATCCACTGAACCAAATATACCCGGTGCCCTGACGGACCACAACTCTCCAACCGCACGGACTGTGGTAACCAGAGGAGACCCAGCGTGGCCTTGTAATTTCTCCTCTTTGTTTTGCTGTCGTGACTGAAAGCTGCTGCTGAGCAGCAGAAAAGGGAGTTCGGTTGTTTGGGAAAGATGTGCAGGGAAGAGAGAAAAGCATATAAGCAGACAGAGTGGCTGTGCTGGCATCCCACAGTGTGGATCATAAAGAGAAGCAGCGGGAAGCGCAGTGAATGTATGAAGAATGGATTTATTACTTGAACAGCTGAACATTTATGCTTTCTGTCCTTGACTGATTTGGTTTCTTTCTCTGGTTTTACAGTGGAGCCAAAGATTTTCTGAACTTGACTGACATGAACTCAAACTCAAGACATAATCAGTCATTTTAAAAGGGACATCACGCAACATTTTCCTTCCACCATGAGTCTGGGAAAGCTGCCAGGAATCAAAGGCCTGGTGTCTGGCTCTCAGGGGAAACGTCGCTTCAAGAGCGACCTCTCGGTGGACATGATCAGCCCCCCGCTGGGGGACTTCCGACACACCATGCACGTGGGCCGCGGCGGCGACGTGTTCGGTGACACGTCCTTCCTCAGCAACTACGGCGGCATCCGGGAGCCGGGGAGCCCGGACTCGTCGAGCAGCTCCAAGTCCACCGGCTTCTTCACGCGGACCTTCCGCCACGTGCGGAGGACCTCTGTGCCGCGGCCCCGGGGCGGCTCCCGGGACCTGTCGTCCCCACCGCCGGACATCTCACCCATCATTAAAAACGCCATCTCCTTGCCTCAGCTGAACATAGACTCTGTGAACGGGTGCCTGCAGAGGGCGCTGTTCCCCAACTCCATGGGCTCAGCGGATGACTCCTTCTGCACATATGGTGAGATAAGACAGATAATCTGTGCCAGCATGGGATTGGTGTTAAGGATCTTACAGGGGGGGATTATCTTCATTAAAAGTGAGCAGAGATGCTTTAAAGGTTGAGATCATACTCAAACATGATAGTTTTAGTAGACGATGAAGCATGATCCTCAGTGTCACAGATTATTTTATAACAAATAAATCAAGATTAATGAAGTGGGCCACCAGAGGTAAGTGAAAGAACGTGATTGGTCAGATTATGAACACTGTCAGAGCAAGTCAGGCCAAACCTTTTATGGTCTTAAGTCGGCATCAACTTTCAGCAGGACGTTTGACATTTTCTTCAGCAGGGATTACAACCTACAGGTGTTAGTTATTAAAGACAGAGACAATAACAATGAACAACTGATTCTCTGAAAGGCAGCAATGCTTCTTGTGAAAGCAACTGATGAAACATTGTGCAAAAAATGTACAAGAAAAACACAGAGATGCTAAAAAGACATATAACTCACAAAAGTATTCACACCACTTGAATGTTTTCACTGAATCTTTGCTCAGTCCGGTTGGATGAAGACAATCTTTGAATAGCAATTTTCAAGTCTTGCCACCAAATATCCGTTGGATTTAGGTCTGAACTTTGGCTAGGCCAATCTAACACATGGCTCTCGTTAGGATCGGTGTGCAGCTGGAAGGTGAACCTTCGTCTCAGTCTTAAGTCTTTTTCAGCCTCCAACAGGTTTTCTTCCAGCATTTCTTTATATTTAGCTCCATCCGTTTTCCATCAACCACCAGGGACCTGCTAATGAAAAGCTGAAGCATGATGCTGCCATTTCCAAATTTCAGTATCAGAATAGTGTGTTCAGGGAGAGGTTCAGTTTCAGTGTTTTTCATGTAGTTCACATGGTTCTATTTTTGTTTCAGATCACCAGGTCATCATCCTCTACATGTTTACTTTATTTGCTACACTGTCAGCGAATTCACATCTACCATGGACCTCTTTGCTGCTTCTCTGATTAATTTTCTCCTTCTCACACCTGGAAGTTTAGGTTCACAGCCATATCTCGAAAAGTTAGCAGTCAGTCGCAGGAAATTTCTGGATGAAGTCATTCTCTGTGAGAACTTGGGATGCTGTTTTGAACTTTTCTAAATTGCAAGCCACACTTTTAATGTTTTTATTCATATAAAACCTTGTATTTTCCTCTTACTGCATAAATAAGTGTTTTTTGAGTTGGTGACACAATTTGCAGCTAATAGCCTGTAGATTTCATTGGAGAAAATGTGAAAAAGCCAAAGCGGTATGAATATTTTTTTAAAGTACTGAACGTGTGAGATTATATAAGTGATTTAACACAGAGCAAATCTAAGTCATCACCTCCTTGGAGCAAACAAAGCCATAAAAGTCATGAGACACAAACAGATGAGATGAAACCCCCGTCCCCTGTTTTGTTTTATATCTTTCCCCCTCATTCCTCCAAGACGACCAGCAAACATCCCAGCTTCTTCTGACTCATCTGGATTCACCTTGGCAACACCTGCACACGATTAGGCCGACAAACACAAACACCGTTCCGCTGAGCGGAGAGAAACTCACCGGGTTTTTCCTGACATCTCCCGTGTTTTTGTGTGTGGGCATGAGAAAATGAGCACAAACCCAACATTTGTTGCATTTGCTCTCCAATCAGAGCCTGTCAGCCAGCTGTGTGCAGGGAATGGAAATCCCCTCGCCCCCTTTCCCAGCTTCTTATCCAACTCAAAAGGAATTTGCCCGATTGGTCGGACAGAGAGAGGCAGAGATCTTGGGGATAATTGTGGTTTTTTTTATGTTTTATAATTACTGTGTTTTATTTACGCCCATATTTAGCTCTATCTGTTCATATGTGACATTATTATTTGATGGCATTTATGTGAATTTGGTAATTTGAGATTTCCTTCATACAGTTATTGTTTCCTACTCTCTTTAAGTAGTGTGATATCTATCTGAAATGTTTATTAGTTATGACCAGACAGTTGTGACGTTGAAACCTGCGAGTTTAGACCCGTCAGGATGACACGGTGGGAAACATCTAAACTCTTGGTTTATAGCGCCACCTTCTGGTCAGATAGCTGCACTGCTGAGCAAAATCCCAAATAGTTTCTTTTTCTATTTTAAAAGATCAACAACGTACAGCAAATGTCTGGAAAGAGTGTGCTGTTCTTAATGTTAATGGATGTCACATTTATTCTTGTTTATAGGTGCAGATCACCAATCTGCACCTATAAACACAAACAACACAAAACATGAAACTCACTACTATCCAGCTTTAACAGGAAGTCAGACATGGTTCTCCACCCAGCTTGCATAAACTTAAACTTGAAACTCTTCCAGCCAGAGGAGGCGATCTACTAAAGCTGCTACCCCAAAATGAACTGAACTGGAGTGAAAGAAGCCTTTAGTCTCAATGGTTCCTCTAAAGACTGCATGTTTGCACTAACACTATAACAATGTACACTTTGTTAGAGGTGGTGTTTAATGCCTCCCTATTAAATAAATGTTTCATTTAACAGGATATATACTACTAATGTAATAAAAACACATTAAATTTAGTCCAATTTTCAATTTCAGTTTTCAGACAATCTTCTGGTAGACTTATGAATGAGTTGACTTCCATTTTCAGTCATTGTTTAGAAAAAAGGTGTCCCAAAAATTTTAACAGGATTTTTTTTTTTAAAAAAAGTAAATATGTAGCTTAGAAATAACTTTTTTAAACTGGTAAGCTTGTCCTGATGCCTAATGGGTTAATTATTAGTTTTCTGATATTTAAAGCAGGAGTACTGTACTTTGTTTCTTGACTAAAATACAGTATATGTGCTCTATAATTATGTTCTTTAGAATTAAATAGAGCTTTTTAAATTCACAGACTTATGACAAAAAGAATATATAGCTACTCTAAAACTGCAGAAATATAATCTCTCTTGTTTAGTGAATGTGTGGACAAACTGATCATAAGAAAATAAGACAATCAAGTCTGGAAGTTTTCTACAACGCTTTTGGGAAGAATAATGAGAACTAAGTCATAAAAGGTTGTTTTGAAACTTTCATGTTTGATGACTGAAGACAAATACCAAAGGTTCACTGGAGGCTAGAGGTCAACACATCATCAGACACCATTTAACTACTTACAAAAATGATTGTTTTCTATCTCAGCACCAACCATTCAATGTTATTAAAGATGCCAAATGGTGTGTTTATTCATGTTGTCCCACTGTGACACCCAGTTATTTGTCTTAAATTAATGCCATCCATCATATGTGACTTTCTAAGTTGTCTTGGGTCCAAAGATGTGAACATTTTTTATGTCTTATATAAAAAGACAGGTGTGAAGGTGAATTGGCCCGAGCAGTAAACTCTGTGGTTGTCAATAATTAACTCATGTTGCAGGAGGAAGAGTTACCTTTAGCACAGACAAACTGGATCTGGTTAGAGAAATAAGATATAAACCAACCTGACACTACTACACATGTTTTCTTTAAGCTGAGTTTGTTTGCATAAAAAAAAATCACTTTACCTAAATACAAACTTAAACCTGAGTTTGCTTTCATTTTCTCTCTCCAGGTGTCCAGTCTGGATTCCTGACTCTGCCTCGAGTCTCTCGACTTGAAAGACAGATTCAAGATGGCGACGTGTGGAGAACGTCTCCAGCAGACAACGGCTGCGGCGCGTTGACTCGCTCCGACTCCCTGGCCTCCTTCACCGTCGACCTCGGACCTTCTCTAATGACAGAAGTGCTGGCTTTGATTGACAACCCCAGCTCTCTACAGGTATCCAATCACAGTCAGGAAGTAGGTGAGGAAGAGGAGGAAGAGGATAGAGGTGACACCAGCTCTCTGACAGAGACGCCTGTTCAGACCCCGACAGCGAGTTCCCCCAACCCGTCACAGTGCAGCGCGTCTTTTAGGTCCAAAGTAAACGGGAGAGTTATGTCTACCTGGAGGGAGCAAAAGGAGGACTGGGGGTCTGTGAGGACAAATGATGTCACTTCCTGTTCTTCTCACAAAGAGGAATCGTCCATCGAAGCGGAGAGGTTCCAGAGGGCGGCTGATGTTCTCGCTAGACATTATGGTGGAGGATCCTTCACCAGAGGAACGAGGACGAGCCAGAAAACACCACATGGTTTATCTGAGGAGGAAGAAGAGATCAAAGTGTAGACATTAAGAACAACTTTCTAAACATCTGGATTCATCTTCAGTCAGAAATGGGAGATTGTTTCTGGTCTTGGACTCTGGTTGTCCCTTCACTTTAACATTCCTTATTAGTCTTAACTTTTGCCCATCTGTTTTTTCTTTCCCTGTAGTTGTGATATATCAGCTAACACTATGAAAGTACAAAGGTCAGAAAACACTTTTGATTCTAAGTGTTTGCAAGTGGTTTGAAAAACCTGTATAAGATCAATGTTTTTATGTTCATAATGATATGTACACTTTATAAATAACACTTTTGTACATTTATCCAGTGATAACAAACACACTCTGTTTTAGCTTGTTGTAAAGTGTATATTTAGGAAATATGGACGTTCTGCTCTTCCATGATTTAATGAACACATTTAACAATCTAATTTGTAAACAGAGCTGTTATTGTAATATTTTATTGGTTTATCATTGAATAAATTGAAATGTATTTCTCTACTCAGCTTGAAATCACTAATATTAGGTCAGCTTTGTTTAAATGGTGTATGAAGTAAGGAAGGCTCACCGGGCACAGGACAAAACACGCCCCATACACTTCTGTATGTATAGTAAGATATGATCCATCCATCCATTTTCTAACACCCTTGTCCCTAGTGGGGTCAGGAGGGTTGCTGGTGCCTATCTCCCGCTAACATTCCGGGCGAGAGGCGGGGTCGCCCTGGACAGGTCTAAGATATGATGTATATAAGAAATATATAATGTGTTTACACTGTAAAAAGTTAATTTACAGTGGGGTTAGTTAAGGGGGTTAGTTTCCCTTAAGGAAACCCCCTTAAGGGAAACTTAACTAACCATCTTAAGTTAGTTTCCCTTAAGGGAAACTAATCCTAAATTCCTAATATTAGGAGATTATACTACCTGTAAGTTTTAAAAACAATAGTTAAAGTTACTTTTTTTGCCCCTTTTTACAGCGCCCCCTCGACTGCTGGCGCCCTTAGCATTCGCCTGCATTGCCTCTGGAAGTTTTTTTAAAATCCTGTTAACATTTTTGGGACTTTTTGGGAGGTTTCTGTCTGGTGCCTCTGCCACTCAGAGGAATAAGAAGAAACATTAGGCTGATTTTAAATTTTTCAAAAATCAGTCTACTCCCTAATGAGGAACCTGGTAACATCTTTAAGTAATGATGCCTTAAATCTCCAAAATTTTGCTGGTGGTGTTAATGTGTTCTTCGTCATGTTAATCCACAGTACTCAGCCACGCCCCTAACTCCTCCCAAACTCCAGCGGACTGACTACTGACCAGCTCTCCATCTCACGGGTCCGAAAAGCCTCTAATTCGTGGGTATTACTGCAAATAAGAATGTAGAGAACTTTTGTTTAAGCTGGGAGCGAGAAAGATTAGTCTAAGCTCTAACTACCTTCATCCAGACGTCATGACCCGCTTCAGTCCATGATTCAGACATCGGAGTAGCCCCGCCGGTATCCGAGCTCATAAACCATGTCTGTTCACGGCAGCTCTTTCCCTGTTATTAACGTGCACTAGAGACTAGGAATAAGTCCCAGGGTCATTATTTATCTGAACTAAAGAACGTATGAAGCCACCCTAATTTACTAGGACCATTAACATTGATTTCACATTAATCAGAAGAATTAACCTTTAGTTGACTCAATTAATTTAACTGTCCACAACATCAATTAGACTTTAGTATTTTATTAGCAAGCTTTAGCAGGAGAGAAAAGACATACAGCAATTAACAAAGGATTAAGTAATCAATAGATTTAAGAAAATTTAGAAATTTCACCTAATTCTAAATCCTACACTGTGTCTTACTCTAAATAGAAGCTTTGGGGGAGGTAGTTTCACTCGAACCCAGATGCACAGACATTCCTTGGCAGCAGAAAACTTTAACGCCCATGGATGGAGTCCTGTCTTTGTCTTGGCAGAATCCTTTTAGAATAGATCCAAAGTTGAACTGGTGAGAATCCTCAATGAACTCAGTTCTTTATCCATATGCGATCTTTGTCTATTCCCCATGTCCACTGCAGCTTTGTTGTAATCTTTTGGGTTGAGTTTGGGGCCGCAGTCGAATCAGAATCCCGAGTTGTGGGTAAACGGATCTTGTTCCTTTCCTGTGCAGCGAGCAGTCTCATCGTCCCGGGGTATCATCACGCAGCCCTCCGTTGATTCTGCATCTCCATATGTGCTCGACTCGAACGCTGCATTCATTTATAATTTTATAATAACCATATCTTATTAGTTACTCTTATTATAATC